TTTTCAGATTTATTAGCATGCACCTTCACTTCCAATGTTTTCAACGTTTTATCATCAATGCTACACTTTGACCTTTTGTTTAGTATTATTGATGTATGGCACTCTTTTCCCTTCACCTTTAAATTCTAATTCTTCTTTTTCTGCCATATGCTTGTTTTCAGCCTCTGCTGTTTTAACATTAATGCTGTCTCAGCTGGATACGTTTATCTTCCTCCAATACGTTCTGAATTTCAGTTTCTATTATATTCTCATTGCCCTGAGTGTCTAACAGAGCTAACAGAGTTGTCAGTCAGAGCAAGGCCCGGCTTGGCCTCCCATCCGCAGCAGACCAATTAAAAAGACAAATAACAGTGAGATGCAGAGAAAGACTATCTGTTCAATGTTCACACAGGGATGAAGAATAAATAAGGAGGGCCAGTGCCTTGTACCCCTCAGCTCCAGCTTCCTGAGGTCCTGCCCATCACTGACCCACCATTGTCTAGGCTCCTCCATTTTCTCCTGCAAGCTTCTGACATCTGGTCAGGGCCATGAAATCTCTTCCTGGGAGACCATTCCTCCTCTGGCAGGAGTGAAGATATTATACAGGGAGACACTGTGTTCCTCCCTTCAGTTATCAGACTATGCAAACAACAGTCTCCAAGGAGCTGGAATTTCACCAAGGGATCATGGTGGGAAGAGGAATAGGCTAACATCTAGCATCCAAACACAAGGCTGTATTTGTCTCCCTAGCTGCTACTTGACCCAGACCCATTTGAACTCAGCAGCTTGAGCTGATCCAACAAATACACAAGGGCTTGCTTCCCTCCTCCCCCCAGGTCTCTGTACAGTCCCAACAGAGGCTTAGAGTTTGTGGTCCCTTAGGAACAGAGCTGGTGAGCCCTATTTAGGAATAAGTGCCAAGGGGAACTCCTGTGGGACAGTGGGACTGACTCCCACTGTCTGCTGTCCTCCAAAGCAGCTGTTGATTCCCTGCTTCTGCACTGAGAGCCTAGTCCACCTGTGTCTACGGTTCTGAGAGCAGAGACAAGGGATGCACCCTGGTCTCTTGGATCTACACGGCACAATGGCAACACTTTCTACAGGATCCACTCCTACATGCTGCATTTCCTGCCTGAACTGTGATTAGAATCAGGAGGGGCCAGGGAGTTCTCCAGGGGTACAGGGCTGACCACTCCTTTTTCCTATTGAGATCTTTATCATAAAGGTTGCTTTGTGCTGTTTTTATTCTTATTTGGACACAAGGTCTCACTGTAGTTGGCCTTGATGAGAGCTCCTCCCGAGTGGTGGAGTTAACGGCACATGCTACTATACCCTGTTCCTTTGTTACTTACTGGTGTACTGATAATTGGGTGTGGTAGAACTTAGACTTACAACAAGTCAGATTTGCATGGCATTGGGAGACAGTTTAAAGAGCTCTGATTGTCTCTCTGAGGAAGCAGAATATTTAGGCTCCCTCCCCTTTGTTTGAGGGGTGTGGTATTTTTGCTCATTTGAGATGGCTAATATCCCTAGTTAACCTTGACTGTTCTGAAACTCACTACGTAGCCCAGGCTGGCCTTTAACTCATGGCAATCCTCCTGCCTCTGCCTCTCCAGTCCTGATATTAGATTTAGTGTAAGGGCCAGCTTCCGCTTGATTCTTCAACAGAGGATCATATCACACTCTCAAGTCCTAAGGTTTCCATTCTGTGATCTCTAAAATATGTATATTGATGGACAGACAGTCCTATATTCTTTGGAAGGATCTAGAGGATACTCACTTCATTGTTGTACTGGAGAGATGGCTCAGGACTCATTTACATAGTGAGCTCAGAATAGCCACAGCTATGCAGACTCTGTCTCAAAACAAAACTAAAAAAACTTGCATAAGAAATCAATAACTTCAGCTGGCCCTGGCAGTATACACCTGTTCTCCTAGCTACTCAGGAGATGCAGAAAACAGCAAATTCAAGGCCTGCTTGGGCTCAGTGAGATCAGGGCAACTTGCTGAGACATGATCTCAAAATTAACAGTAAAAAGAGTTCTGTGGATATAAGTCAGAGATAGAGTCTTTGTCTAGGAAGCACAAGGCTCTAGATTCAATTTTAGTCACACACTACCACCACCAGCAAAACTACAAATAAAAATCTCTATGAAGTGTCCATGTTGACATGCAAGATTTTTTTATTCTGGTATTACATTCTGCATACACTTTTTTTTTTAAAGGTAGAGTTTATGTGCAGCTCTAGCTGTCCTGGAACACACTTTGTAGACCAGGCTGGCCTTGAGATCTGCTTGTCCCAAGGGCTGGGATTAGAGGTGTATGTGTGTCACCGAGCCCTGCATAGAATTATAGATATCTATTTAATGTTACCATGGTTAGAGTTGGCTGATGAAAGGAATTCTGACAAGGCAGTGGCTAGTGTTGCAAGCCTGTTATGGGTTCCAATTGTTGAAGCACAAAGGTATTCAGTGAGCAGACAGCATCAGGAACTTGGCTCCAAGCCAATGATGCAGTAGTTTCTACACAGGCAGCAAGGTCTAAGAAGCAGCAGTTTTCACAAGACTCTTCCCAAGTTTTCCTTTATGTTCTGTTTGATGCCATACTTGTCACCATCTTTTAAATGCCTGTACACATCTTTAGGATGACACTGTCTTTTTCTTTTTGATCCTTTACTTACCCCCAACTCTTTTTGAGTTTTCTGAGTATGCCAATTCCCTGACCAAACCATTACTTACTGTAATACTCATTTTCATGGCTATATGCCTTTGAACCTACCTTACTAGTAATCTTGGCACAATTAAAAATAGGAGAGACAAACTCTTAGGGACAGAAATCTGGATTTGTTCTGATACCACTAAATGAAAGGTCTTTTTTTTTTTTTAATTTATTTTATGTATATGAGTATACTATAACTCTCTTCATGAACACAAGAGGGCATCGGATACCATTACAGACGGTTGTGAGCCACCATGTGGTTGCTGGAAATTGAACTGAGAACCTCTGGAAGAGTAGCCAGTGATCTTAATTGCTGAGGCTTTTCTCCAGTCCCTAAATGTCTTGTAGTAAATGATAGCCCATAGAGAAAGTTCACTTCTCACATGTAGTCACCTGACCTTCTTAAAAAGTAACTAGTCAGAAGGATGAGTTAATGGAAGCAAGATACCAGAATATTCTTAGTATACAGAGAAGGGCAGGCCAAGACTCCAGGAGATAGAGATATTAGTTACTTATGTACAACTTACTCCATATCCTCTGGAAGGATCCAGAAGACACTCTCCTTAAAGGTTTTTGAAAGGGGTTGGGCATTTAGCTCAGTGGTAGAGCGCTTGCCTAGAAAGCGCAAGGCCCTGGGTTTGGTCCTCAGCTCTAGAAAAAAAAGAAAGAAGGAAAGAAAGAAGGAAGGAAGGAAGGGAGGAAGGAAGGAAGGAAAGAAGGAAAGAAAGAAAGAAAGATTTTTGAAATACAAAGATCATCGTTGAGACAGGAGAGACGGCTCAGCAGTTGGGAGCACTGGCTGCTCTTGCAGAGGCCCTGGGTTCAGTTTCCAGTGCCTATTACGGTGGCTTCCAACCATCTGTAACTCCAGTTTCACATTTAATACAGTTTTTGGTCTCTGGGGATACCAGGTACATACATGGTATATAGACATATATGCAGGCAAACACTTTGTCAGGAATGGTAGCAAAAGATGTTCACTATGAAACGGCTCCTTAAATTCAACTGAGTGGTGAGGGAGGTAGGAGATAAAAAACCAAACCCCTCATAAACAAGGGCAATATTCTATTGACAGGTTTTATAAGATTTAATAAAAAATGACTGCCACAGAAAGTGTTTTAACAAAAAAATCAAAAGTTAAAAACTGTCTGTGCTTAGCCAGTAAGTTGTTATAACTTTTATAGCTAGGCTGATGCTCCTGAGCTTTGAAATACAATATTTTTCAAGAACCATAAAGAGCTTGATTCCAAAGGAAATATGGGTCAGAATGCTCTGGATACTTTTCTCAAGGTTTCTTCAGAAACTTAAGACTATGGACAACAACAGACAGTGAGATCCAAGAGGTGGATGAGTAATCACAACTGCAAATGCTAATACAAATATCAGCAATTACAAACCCAAGTAAGACGAGAAAAACATTACTGTTCCTGCTGTATATATTGATACATAGTTTAAGAGTGTGTACATATGCACATACTGAAATACAGTAGAAGTACACTGATTAAATTACAACAGTACAGGTTTACTTGTTAGTAAGAACAGAAAGAGGACTGGACACACAGCTCAAAGTAAGAGCAGATCCTGCAGAGGATCAGGCTTTGATTTCCAGCACCCACAGCTGGTACAAAACACCCACAACTGCAGTTCCAGGGGATCTGATACCTTCTTCCAACCTCTGAAGTATCAAGCACATGCATGGTGTACATATACAAATCCTGGCAAAACATATAAAGTGAATAAACCTAATAAAACTTTTTAAATATCAAAGTCCTTTCAGGTACAGAGTGAGAAAGAATCCACAATTCAAGAAATACGACTATGAAGACATGTAAATTAAGAATATGGAGAACGCAGGTTAAAATTATTTAAACATGGTTTAGGATGGAAAAACTCTCACAGTAACATTGGAATTCCATGGACAGTAAAAACTTGTCAAGACAAAGGTAGAGACAAACTAGAATGTGGGACATTTTGGAAGAGGAAAGCTTTCCACAGATGAACAGATGACTATTTTCTATTTGCTCTAATTGTTTCTTTAAAACACTTTCAGAAACTTTAGATCAAACTACAAATTTATATGGTGCCACCTCTGAAGAGGCAGGCCACATATCTAAATTGAAATATACCATATCTCTGCCTTTAAGGTTATTTTGATCTGTGAAGAACTACAATAATACAATAGAAGTCAGACCTGGGGAAAGTATGGCTCAGTGGCAAAGCGCTTACCTAGCATATACAAGATGTACAAGATCTGGGTTCCATCTCCGCACTGCACAAAAAAGGACAAACAAACAAAAGCCACATACATAAAACAATAAAGAGCTTTATTGAATATCTGTTCAATTATATCATGAGCCTTATTAGTACAGTATCTATCCTGAAAATTCTAGTCAGATAAAAAAATGATGGCATAATGATGTTTAAAGATGATTCAGTTGCAATTTTAAAGAGTGAAAACAAAAAAACTTATCAAGAGTGAAAACAAAACACGATGAAAACTAGCTAAAAAAAAAGGCAACACAGTCAGAGCATATGATGTTCTATAGCTGTTGGTAGGGCTTACATCTGATGTAGCATTCTTACTGCCAGTCAAACAGTTCTTTTCTCTGTCATATCTTAGCTGTTGATGCTATGAGTCTGGGAGAGACTGACTATGGGTAACACTTCTGGTCTTCAGCTGTGACTGTGCAATGTCAGCAAGTGCACTTTGGATCTTCTCCAGAAGCATATCTCCCCGATAAACAACATCCTCCAGACATGTAGCAGCTTCGTGATTTTCTTCTTCTAGCTTATATAAGCTAGCAGCCTTTGTAAGACATGAGTGTTAATATATTCAGAGATGAAATGGACAGAAACTAAATACAAGTATTTATTTTAAAATCAGAATGCCTTTCCAACCATTGTGTCTTATCTTTGGTAGCAGGTATTCTATCAACTTAATTTTTTTTCCGTATGACTTATTAGAAGACTAATTTTCGGCCGGGCGGTGGTGGCGCACGCCTTTAATCCCAGCACTTGGGAGGCAGAGGCAGGCGGATTTCTGAGTTCGAGGCCAGCCTGGTCTACAGAATGAGTTCCAGGACAGCCAGGGCTATACAGAGAAACCCTGTCTCGAAAAACCAAAAAAAAAAAGAAGACTAATTTTCAATGAGAATATATAGGCATACATATATGCTCTACTTACACTGCTTGAAGACATTGTTTTACTCCACATTCAGAATGTCATTCTCTACTCACTCTTTGCTAGTTAAACAAAGTTAGGCAGGAGTCTTCTGCCAAAGACTGAAATTGTTCAATGTCAATACCACCTTAAACACACCTGATCTTATCCTTAAGTCAAAATTGAACAACCTTACAGCACAATCTTCCAGGGGCTGTGCTAGTTCAGTTAACAAATCTCCCAAGTAAGCCTGAGGTTATAGCTCAGAGACAGAGTGTTTGCCTAGTATGTGAGATCTTGGACTTGACCACCACCAAAAAAAAAGAAAGAAAAAGAATGAAAAGAAACTCACAAAACCAAATAAAGCCTCAAATACCTCCCATTTAAAATTTAATATTAAATTGAATATCATAACCTTCTTTAATTCAAAGTTCTCTACTATTAGTAATTTTATCAGAAGACTTTTACCTGTAAAGCAGCTGTAGACTCTTCACTGGGTAAGGAATCGATCAAAACATCAATATCTTTTGCTGTTCGTGCAATCAATGCTGCAAAAAGCTGAGCATACTCTGGAAGAAAAACATCAAGTTAAATTATCAGAATCTTACATTTTTAAAAATAGAAATTATAAGTTTAATAAAGTTAGAAAAGCTCAGCTAAGTTTTCTATATAATAATTCCAATTATGAAAGTATAATTTTAGCATGTCAATACTATTTTTACATTTAATATTACTTCATATTGGGAATTAGCATGTCATTTTATTTATTAGGACAACATTCTCGTACCTTAAGGAAAGGAATCCATAGATGAGATGTTTTTCTTATTAAGGTCATAAAAACAAAACTCAGCTTAACTCATACAAGCTTTCCTCTAAGGAAGTAACAATCTTTGTTGAAAATAAACAGAATTATGAGGCTTATGAATTATACTGATAAAGTCATTATACTGATAAAGTCATACCAATTAGATAGCTTTGCAGACAAAGGACACTTGCCACCAAGTCTAACGACCTAAGTTTGATCCCCAGAACCCAAATAATAGAAGGAGAGAATTACTCCAGATCCTTTGACCTCTTGCATGCATGCATGTTATGGCAGGCACACCATATAAACAGATGTAAAAAAAAAAAAAGAGAATCATTTATTTATGGCAAAACTTAGTAATATACTAACCACAGTCACATTTTTACAAAGAAGCTATAAATTATAGAAGAAATGTCAGTCAAACTAAGCAGACCTCACCTTCTGTAGGATTGGCTGGTTGATCTTTATTAATTGCTGTTTGAATGTTACTAAAAGAGGCAGGAGGACCACACTGCTGTAATACACCAATGGCATTACAAAACTGATCTGCAAGCTTGAGAAAAAGGAAAAAAGTCAAGGTTACAAAGAATTGTCAATGTTAAGGATTTTATTAAAAATGGCAACAATCTCTTCATAATCATGATCTCTATGCAAACTCCTCAGAAAAAGAAATATTCTTCGATAAAATGAGCCCATTATTACTAACAATGACAGACTGTGCAGCTAAAACTTTCAGTCTTCCAGGAGTCTATTTACATTTAGTTTGGATTAAATGATTTAATCATACAAAGTAACTTAAGTTTGGTGTTAGTCTAGGTAAAATTAAATTTGGCATCAGTCTAGCTTAAAGAATCAATACATGAAAGCCAGGCTACGGTGTCAAATGCCTTTAATGCCAGCACCTGAGAGGCAGAGGAAGGCTGATCTCTGAGTTCAAGGTCAGCCGGGGCTGTACTAAACAAGAAAACCAAAGACTCAGCCATTAAGTGTTTTGTTTTGAGTGGCTCTGAAGACTGAGCTCTCAAGAACAGGCTGTTCACAAATAAAACCAGATCTCCATGCCAGCAGATACACAAGCTGCAACAGAGAAACAGGTGTTCAATAGTTAAAGAGCACTGGCTGCTTTTGCAGAGGACCTGGATTCAACTCCCAGGACCCACACGGCATCCCACAACTATAACTCTTATCTCAATATACCTGACGTCCTCTTCTGGCCTCTATGGCACCAGGCATCCACATGGTACACATGCATACATGTAGCAAAAGACCCTCATGCACATTAAAAAAGGAAAGAAGAAAAAGTCTCCTACAAATCATAACTCAACAAGTCCTAATCTACCAAAGTGAAATGACTTTTGCACGAGTCTGTTCTTTCCTTCTACAGTGTGGGTCCTAAGTTAGATCTAGTGGCAAGTGTCTTTACTTACTGAGCTGAGCCAGTTTGCCAGTCCCCTAAACCATTTTATATTGCTAATTTTATTTATGTGTATAAGTGTTTTGTCTGCATGTATGTATGTGGACCACGAGCATTCAGTGCCCACAGAGAGGTCATCAGAGTACCTGGGACTAGAGTTTTAGATGGTTGTGAATCACTATGTGGATGCTGGGAGTTAAACCCAGATCCTCTGAAAGAAAAGTAAGCTCTTAACTGCTGAGCCATTTTTCTCCAGTCCCATATGCTAATTTTTTAAAACCAAAACCACCAAACAAACAAAATAGAGGTTAGGTAAGCACAAGAACAAATTTAGTTCCCCTGTACCCACAACAGAGACCCTAAGTTCTCACTGGTCAGCTAATATAGCTGAAAAGGTGAGCTTTCGGCTCACTGAAAGACCTTGTCATAAACAAACAAACAAAGAATCTTGGACAACTCTGGTCTCTACATAAATGTACACAGGTTAAGTGCACCTGCATATAACACACACAAACACACATATACAAAGAAATAGAGTTCAGTTGGTTGTTTGCATAGCAAACATGAAGCCCTGGGTTTGATCCATAGCGTGCTGCTTAAACTGCAGGTGGTAGTACACACCTGTACTCCCAGGACCTGGAGGCAGGAGGATAAGAATTTCAAGGATATACTAAGAATTGTGTTTGAAATGAAAACAATTTTTTAAAGATTTATTTATTTATTTATTTTATGTATGTGGGTACACTGTCGCTGTCTTCAGACACACCAGAAGAAGGCATCAGATCCAATTACAGATAGTTGTGAGCCACCATGTGGTTGCTGGGAATTGAACTCAGGACCTCTGAGGAGCAGTCAGTGCTCTTAACCGCTGAGCCATCTCACCAACCCCGAAAACAATTTTTTTTTTACTCTAAGTTATCAGAAATGTATTATTCAAGACTCAAATTGTAACCTTGTTGCTTAAAATTTATTTGTTGTTGGGGCATGACAGATCCCAGCATGAGGAGGCAGAGACAGAGGCAGTCAGATCTCTGTCAGTTCACACCATTCACAAAGTAAACACATCTTCTAACTAGTCCTAACCCCTGAAACCTCATTTACTATTTCCAATCAGTAAACATTTCTATTGTTTCGTTGTCGTTATATAAATGACAAAATTCTTAATTGTTATTGAAAAGCTAACCTGGGTGGCTTTCTAAGTTGCAGTATTCTATTTAGCAGCACTGCCATAAGAAAGAAAAATACAAATGAAACTTATTCAATACAGTAGCTATGTGTTCTGTCCTGTAATTTCATTCAAGACCCACTGTTTATCTGTTCAAAAATATTTATTGAAAAACCAATTCCATGACAAGTACTGTATATAAATATTATAGAGATGAACATGACATAGCTTCTGTACTCATGGAGTTTCCAGATGGCAGAACAAACGTTACTAGTGCTCTGTGTTCCAATCTACTTTAGCTCTTAAGAGCTGAAAACAATTCACTCTAACTCCCTAACCACGATGGGGTTTGTTTGCATCATCTAAAAGTCTCTTGAGTTTATGACATCTTTCTAAGCTCCTTGAGTAGCTCTTTGTAAACACATTGCCTATAGACACAGTAGGCATCCATATTGACTCAATTATCAGGACTCCTAAGGTGAGTCAAGGCCATATTGTATCCTTACCATCCTAACTACAGAACCTACACGAATATGTATATTTAAGAGATAAGCTCCTACACAGCATTATTAAGATTTGTAAAACAAACAAACAAAAAAATTTAAATTAAAAAAAAAAGTTTGTAAAACCACAAAGCAGTATTTTCTTGCGAGAGGTTAGCTGGCACCCCAGGGAATCTCTGCAAACAGAATGTACCTTCGAGAATTCATCAACATTTAAGATAGTCCCTCAACTTTAAAACTACTTTATTTACACAGAGTAGTCTAGTTTTCCCACTAGTAGATTCACAATTTCAAAGTCCTCTCAAAGTGATGATGTATTAACCCAGAAGCCAAGTTGTATCATTCCTGTTAGAAAAACACTGGCCAGGGGACTAGGTATTTAGATTTTTTCAGTAGGCTTACACTCTGTAGGCACTTCTACATCAAACTACAACCAGAAGGACACTAAGAGATATTTAACTACCAATGGAAAACTGCTGTACTCTAAATTGAAATAAGCAGTAATTTTTTTTAATGTTTCTTTGGGTCAGTGTCTTCTCTACATAGCTCTGGCTGTACACAGTACTAGAACTCACTTTGAGGCTGGCCTCAAACTCAGCTTTGCCTCTGTCTGCCCCCTGAGTGGTGTGGAATTATAGGGATTAAAGGTGTGGGTAACCATTCCAGGCTCAATATTTTTCAGCTTCCCGTGCATGTACATTAAGCAAGAATAACAGCCAGAGGGGATGAAGTTAGAGAAGCTAGGAATTTTCGGGAGCTTTTGTTGTAGATTTTGACTCCGGGTTGTTTTTTTGTTTTCAACTGCCTGGTCTCCACAGGGTGCAGGTCAGCCAGAGCTGACCATCAGTGAAACCATCTCAAAACAAAACAAAAATCCCCCTTGTGTACATTCACTGTTCGTGGTACTGTGCTGCAAGAGCTTCACTTTCACCTGTAAGAGCCTCTTAGGGAAGATTCTAAAGTGGACTTAAACAACGCAAAGAAATGGAGAAACTAGGATCTAGACTCCTCTAGAAGATGTTACTCTCCAACGACTGGCGCCAGAGTGGCCAAGAGCGGAGGAGTCACGGCCTCCAGATGCCACGATAAGCCCTCACCCTGGCCACCCAACCTACAAACACTCAACACTTTGTTGTGGTCGTTTGTGTTTTTGTTTTCTGAGATGGGATATCCAACTGGAGCTCAGGCTGGCCCGAGCTCGCTGCAATCCTCCTGTCTCAGCCTCCGGAGTGCGATCACAGGGGTGGGGATCCATTTGGCAAGTTGAAATTGAAATGCAAGGGATATACGCAAAAGTGCTTAGGCTTGTCTCGCCCCACAAAGGAGGTTCCAGAAGCATCCCTGGGACTTGAGTACTCGAGTCCCTAGCTACCTGGCCTCGGACCTTGAGTCCCCCTCAGGAGAGGCCGTCGGGTTCCCTCATTAGAGGCCACCCATTCCCTTCTTCAGGAGAGGTGTCGAGCCCCACAACCCTGAGGAGAGGCTTGCGGGTCCCGCCTCCCCTCGGGAGAGAACCCGGATCCCACCCCACTCAGGAAGAGACTGGAGGGTCCCGCCTTCCCTCAGGACAGCCCCCGGGCCGGGTCTCCCCGCAGGACAGCCCCCGGGCCCGGGTCCCCCTCAGGACAGGCCCGTCTCCTCAGACCCCGCCCTGTGGCCTCCGTGAGACCCAGGTCTCCCGCACGCGCCGTCCGCGGCAACCTCAATCAGCGCGCTCCCCGGGACCAAGCCTCGCTCCTTCTCCCTCTCTTCCCGTCAGAAAAGAAAGAAAGGCTGGCGAGCCGAGGCAAGCCCTTACCGAGTTCACAGCGTCCTGAAGCTGGGTGAGTCTATCCGCCATGTTAGACGCGCACACAAGGGTGCGCAAAAGCTCGCATCCCCTGCGATTGGCCAATTTATAGCGGCTCTGGGCCAATCACAGGGCTCCTCCGTGCGGGGCGTGGTCAAGGAAGCGTGCTGCACGGGGAGGGGCGGGGCTATCCTGAGGCCTGCTGACGTCACGTCGGTGGGATCCAGGGCTGGCGTGTGGGAGGGGGACGAGTGTGGGCAGAGTCGCCACCGTCCGCGTCGGCGCTGGACCGAGCCCCGCGGGGCGACAGTGCTTCCTCCCTCCTGTCTGTTAGCTTTGTTGAGGCTGTGTAGTGCTGGCCGGGCTGGAGTGTGTTTTGTTTGTGAGGGGTTTTGTTTTTGTTCATTTGTTTGTTTGTTTTGCATTATCTGGAACACTTTTCCTTACTTTTACTTTCCAGGTATACCACAAAGCATACACGCAGCCAGCCGTTCACAACATTTAAATCCAAGAAATTAACATTCTCCAGGAAATCAGAATGGCTAGAAGAGGGTGGCTTGTTAGTTTGGGGCTAGAAGTGCTTACCTAACTGGAGGACTAGTTTCTCGTGCTTTCATTCTGAGTAGGAATGCCCGGGGGAACGGACACACCAGAAAAGGAAAGCATTAAACAGCGCTGTGCTGAGGAACGGATGACAGGTAAAGGTCAAAAGGAGAAAGAAGAGCATTGGAAGGCAGGAGGTGCGTTATCAGCACAAGTTGTGAGGAAATTACTGTGAGGAAAAGAACAGAGAGGAAAGGGAAAGACTGGTCAGCAGAGAGGTTCCAGGAAAATAAGCAAGTTAGGCAGGTTCAGTTTTCAGGAAGATCAACTTCAGAATTTAAGTTCAGTACTGGGGCTTCCTGACAGTTTTCCGTGTGAAGGGTGATAGCAGAAAGGTTATTTCTGTTAGCCTGGGGATATTCTGAAGAGAAACGAGTCCTGAATCTGCAAATACCTGGTTCGTGGGCCTCGGACAAACTCTTTATCATAGTTCCCAGGCTGATCATTCCTGGAGTTGGAGGTGGGTGGGTATGTGAGCTTGTTTTTTGTTGCTGCAACTGAATAGCACAGACAAGTAATTACAAAGAAAGTTGACTCCCTACAGTGTTCTGGAGGCTGGGAAGTTCACTATCAAGGTGCTAACATCTCAAGAGAGCCTTTGTGGTGAATCCTAACAGAGGAGGCTGTGGTGAGGTATCCACCAGAGAAGACTCCCCAGATGTGGTTTAAGTCAACAGATAGTCGTGATTAGCCAGCCATCAACTATACAGGGTATTCAGGATCCCAGGATAGCCCTGAGCCTTTCTCAGGGTGAACTTTTAAACACAAAATTCGTATTTTGAGTTGACATAACTCAGTTAACAAAAATAGTTGGCTAGAAGTGTAACTACAGAAGCCAAAAAGCTAGGTTAGTACATTTAAAGACTTTCCCAGAACTATGGACTTTGCTAGATTAGGTCTTTGTTTTCATTTTGGCAGGCTGTGCTGTCTACCTGCTAAGTTGTACAGCCTGAATGGTACTTCCATCATGGAATCAGTTATGTTAAGGTCTGGGGCCTGTTACGAGGCAGGGCAAGAGAGCACACTTTAATCACATTATAACCAATGAATACATGAATGGGCCCTTCAGGGGCTCTGAAGATCCAAGCTACAGAGTCTTCAGGACGCAGTCACCTTCCAAAGGTTTCCCCTCTCAAATCCTATTAACATATGACTTTGGGATGTAAAATTCCAATAGTTTGAAGGGAATTTTGAAGTCGAGGAAATAATTTTTGAGGATCTCAGCTTCTGGGACTTTTCCTCACTCGTCTATGGGAAGTTCCACTTGCGTTTTGCAGCCGTCTACACTTCCACCAACAGTGTACAGTGTACCACTGTGGTCAAACTGGGAACCTCCATAGGTCTTGCACTTCCTCTCACAAATGAAATTGACAGTTAGGTTTGGTAGCATTTGCCTTTAATTCCAGTTCTTGCATCTCTGAGTTTGAATCTGGCCTGTTCTACCTACCACGTTCCAGGGCAGCCAGAGCTACCGAGTGAGACCATGTCTAAAAAAACAAAAAGCTGCCTTTAATCCCAGCACTTGGGAGGCAGAGGCAGGCGGATTTCTGAGTTCAAGAGTTCGAGGCTAGCCTGGTCTACAGAGTGAGTTCCAGGACAGCCAGGGCTACACAGAGAAACCCTGTCTCGAAAAAAACCAAAAAAAAAAAAAAAAAAAAAGCTGCGTGGGGTAGTGCACACTTTGTCCTAGCAGTCAGGAGGCAGAGGCAGGTGGATCTCTGGGTCTGAGGCCAGACATACACACAGACAAAACTCCCATACATCTCAAACAAATTTAAAAATTTTCTCTAATAACACAATAGCAAAAAAAAGAGCAGATAGAAAAAATGAAAACATTTTAAAATTATATTCTTGTGTGTGTGCATTATGCATGTGTGTGCATTATGCATGTGTGTGCATTATGCATGTGTGTGAAGTGCACGTGTGCATGTGCCACAGCATGCACATGAAGGTCGAAGAACGCTGTAGAATAGTTCTCTATTACACATGAGTCTTAGGGATTGAACTTGGGTGGTCGGGCTGTTTGGCAAACACCTTTACATGCTGAGCAGTCTCGCCGTCTTGGTTAAACATTCTGAAGGCGCACTTAAACAGATTTTCACTGATAGGCTGCAGCTTATCCTACTTGGTAAAGAGTCTGAGGTTGCCAGCCCCATAGAAGAGAGCTGCCTGCAGTACAGGGAACACCTCAAGACATCCCATGCTGCAATGGGGCCACCTCAAGACGTCCCATGCTGCAATGGGGCCACCTCAAGACATCCCATGCTGCAATGGGGCCACCTCAAGACGTCCCATGCTGCAATGGGGCCACCTCAAGACGTCCCATGCTGCAATGGGGCCACCTCAAGACGTCCCATGCTGCAATGGGG